TTTTTTTTTTTTTTGTATATGAATGAGAGATTGATATAATTTCATGAGCTTGTTTTTATCCATCAGCAAATTCTATATTTCTGCTGAGGAAATCTGCAAGATAATTATTCACTCCTTTAATATGAATAATATCAAAATTATAAAAAGATAAATATATTTGCCATCTATGAATAATATCAAAATTATAAAAAGATAAATATATTTGCCATCTGTATAATCTCCTATATTGAGACTCCATTGGTAACTTATTTCTGATTCATCCTACAACTTGAGAATTATCAGTTTCAACAATAAATTTTTTAGATAATAATAACAATGAAAACTTTTTTATTCTTCTAATAATTGCTAATAATTCTTTTTCATGAGTGGTATAATTTATTTCTACTTGATTAAAAGTTCAACTTGAATATCTACAAATCTCATTTGAATCTATTTTTAATATGGATGTCCAATATTTATCTGAGGCATCTGTATTAATAACTAAATTGTCTTTTTCATTTGATAGTCTTAATTTTGGTAGATTTTTACATTCTTCTTTTAATGATTTAACAATTTCTGTATGTTCATCATTCCATCCTTTAGTATTTGTTTTTCTTAGTAAAATCTGTATTTTATCTCTTTTTTGAAAGATTTTCAATAAATCATTCTGCATAATTTAGACATCTTAAAAACTTTTGTATTTGTTATTTAGATTCTAATTTGTTTGGAAAACTATATATCTTTTTAGATATATGAGTTTGTAATTTAATTCATCTTTTATCTATTGTTAATCCAAGAAAATCAATCTTTTATTTTTTATAATGGCTTTCTTTTTAGAAAGAACAATTACTTCCTTTTTGCATTCATTTATAAATTATATTAAATAATTTCTATATTCTTCCTTGTTATTAGAACATATTAATATATCATCAACATATACTATTAGCAATTTATTAAATTGTCTAAATATATTATCCATTCTTTTTTGATATATCTGAAGTGCATTTTTTAATTCAAAAGGCATTACTATCAATTCATATTTGCCTTGAGCTGTACTAAAGGCTGTATATTGTATACTATCTTCTTCCATATTTATCTGTCAAAATTCTGATTTACAGTCAAATCTAGAGTAATATTGTTTTCCTTTTACAATGTTTATTAGGACTTTTTCGTTTGGTAAAAAGTATCCATCAAATCTAGTATATTTATTTAATTCTTTATAGT